CTATGTGCATAGCAGCATTGTTTGTCATAGCCAGAACCTGGAACCAACCCAAATGCCCTTCATGAATAAGGAAAATGTGGTACATTTACACAATGGAGTACTACACAACAGAAAAAAATAGTGACATCTTGAAATTTGCAGGCAAATGGGTGGATCTAGAAAACATCATTTTGAGTGAGGTAACCCAGTAAGGACTGAAGTCTTTGGGAAAACTTATTTTATTGAAATCTTTTATATTTACCTACGTTATAATAAAGGTGGAGTCTAACTGATCTTATGTAATGAGGAAACTGACATCTTGATTGTGTTTATATATAAGCATAGGATTTATAATATGAGGGGGAAAAGCGAACAGTAACATAAATTGGACATAAAATGGACACAATTAGATACTAGGAGAGAAAGTAAACTGAGGGGTTACTTTCATTTTGTGATTCTGAAGAGCCCTTTCTAAATAGGTAGAATTAGAGGATAAATCTAATTTGATACAAATAAAGCAGGCAGGGTAGGACACCTTCCAGCAAGAGGGGAGGGCATGTAAGGACCAGTGATCTAGCTAGTATGAGGATCTTAAAGAATCAGAGAAAACAGGATAGGATAACACGAAGTAAAGTGAGTAAGACCCGTGTTTCATTTTCTGTTTGTGTGCACAGTAATAGTTACTTGGAAAAGACAATATAGGTTTTTTATTATATTAGACATTTTTCATATATCTATTCATAGAATCTGTCTCTATTTTAAAAGAGAAAGAATAAAATTTACCTCCAAGCCAGCTTGGAGCTCAGTGTCAGCTCTCTAGATGATTGTCATGACGATCAATATCCTGAAAGCATGCGCTTTGTTCTCTTAGCTCACACGCCATGGAGTTTATGAAGTAGAATGCAAGCTGGCTGTGGAGATTCTGGGGGTTTCCAACAACTGTTCCAAAGGCCTGTGCATTAGAATAGCTGCAGCTTTGTGATAAAAAGCCAGCGCCTGGGTTGGAAACGGATCTGCCACTCATTAACTGGGAGAATTTAAGCAGATCACCTACACGCTTTGCTTCACAATGTTCTCATTCGAAGTGAGAGGCATAGATGGCAACAGGGCAAACTGTAAGTGGGCATTGCCAGTGTTAATACAGGAATAGCACGTAGAATGCTACACAGATAAAGAACCAGCCACACAAGGGTAGCCATTGCTATTGTCATATCATCATCATTATTATCTCAACAAATGAATATATACCTAACCATTTCATATCATCAGAGACTCTGGTTTGTGAGGGTAAATGTCATAGTGTTTATTTTTTTTCAATTGCTTTAGATTTAGTTAAGATTATATGATTCTTAGGTTAACAATTTAGCTTTAAACATTTATTTATTTTGATTTTATATGTACGGGTGTTTTACCTACATGTGCATCTGTGCACCACAAGCCTGCAGTTCTCTCAGAGGCTTGAAGAGGGCATCGGGCCCTCAGAAACTGGAGTTACAGGCTATTAGAAGTCCCTATACTGGTGCTAGATCTCAATTCTAAGATCTTATACCTGCTTAGGCATGTCTCCAGGACTAACAATTTAGCTTTAAAAGGATTTCAGATGAGACTTTTAGCACAACCTCTCCTCTAAGGCCATAGCATAAAGCCTGACCGTAAGCGTGTTGAATTGCTGTGTGAAGAGGTTTTCAAGATGTTAAATAATTAAGAGAGAGACAGGTAGCTATTGTGCTAAGTGGAGGTACACTGTGCTCTCTGTGGGCAGCAGAGATTGTTGGACTCCTTTTTCTGTGCCCCAACAGCCCCGGTTTGGGTGGAAACAAATCTGTATCATTTTCCTAAAAGCAAGGCCACACTACTGAATCCTGACAAGTACCCAGAAGCTGGTCACACTGACGAAGAAGAAAAATCATGAAAGGTTCAGGAAGTTTCTGTAGGTACTATCTCTGGTCAAACTATTAAATAAAAGGGGCATTAAACACGAGGAGATGGCTCTTCAAGGTAAAGCACTTGCTGAGCAATCCCGAGGACAAGAGTTCAGATCTCTATCTCCCATGTGTCTTTATGACCGTGGTGCGGGCCTGTGCTCTCAGAATGTGGGGTGCAAAGACGGGAATCCTTGAAACAGGCTGGCTAGTTAGACTAGCTGGAGCATACCGGTCCAGGCTCACATGGGAGACTGCCTCAACATATAAAGTGGATTGTGGTTAAGGAAGACACCCAGTGCCATCCTGTGTCCCATATGCATATGGGCACATATGTGCACACATTTGTACACACACACACACACACACACACACACACACTGTCTGCTCATATACATATGAGCATGCATGCACACTTTCTGGTCTTCATCCTATAATACACACATAGAATTTCACTTAATCATCTGTTACTCTTATTGGCATTAAATTTTCCAGTAGGAAGAGATTTCTTAATATGTCATGCTAAAAACATGTATCATTGAGCACTTTGAACAATCTAGTAAACATATAATTGCTATCTGCTACAGAGTGGCGAGAGCCTGATGCTATGAGCATCTCCTCTTAGGACTGTGCTCATCTGAACTTCACAGAAAAAAGTTCTCTCATGTGCTGCGTTGTTCATCTTGGTAAGTGGCAGTAAGAGTGTGGGTTTTGGGCTGCCAAGTACAAGTTCTCGATGATTGCCAAGCAAGTTCTGGACTCATTCCTCACTAAAAAGGCTGTCTGCTTTTCCACAGGTTCTAAAGTGATACTCAGAGAGGTGATTTCAGTAACGGTATTGATCTACAAAGGTTTCCTTCTATGGTCTTCTGTAACTTCTGCCATAGGCTCTTTTGAATGGTGAGTTTCCTTTCTCCTCTGAGAGATGAATTCTTTACAAGATTTCTTGCTGTCAGCATTTTTCCCCTTTAAAATTACTTTCCCATCAGTATCTCCATTTGCTTTTCCTCTAGCGCATATAGGAAACGACTTGAGTAATGCATACTACTTTTTATACACTTTACAGAACAGCTGTATGATTAAATCATTGATATGTGTTTCTGTTTTAGAAAACAGACCTTCAGAGTTCGCCGGGCGGAAGCTTACCTCGCCGGGCGGAAGCTTATCCACAGGAAGTAGCGGAAGTGCTTTCTCTTCCGGTCTCTTTGGCCTCGGCGGCAGAAGCAAGATGAGGAGAGGAACGCCATCCTTTGGAAGGCGTCGCAACAAGACGCACACTTGTGCCGACACTGTGGCAGTAAGGCCTACCACCTTCAGAAGTCTACCTGTGGCAAATGCAGCTACCCTGCCAAGCGCAAGAGAAAGTATAACTGGAGTGTCAAAACTAAGAGACGAAACACTACCAGGACTGGGCGGATGAGGCACCTAAAAATTGCCTACCGAATATTCAGACATGGATTTCGTGAAGGGACAACCCCTAATTCCAAGAGGGCAGCTGTTGCAGCGTCCAGTTCATCTTGAGGATTTCAATCTGTCATAAAATAAATGTTTTGGTTTCCGAAAGAAAGAAAGAAAGAAAAAAAGAAAGAAAGAAAGCAAGAAAGACCTTCAAAATAAAGGAAACTTCACTTGTAAATACCTACAATTTTAGACAGTATCAAAATGCATTTGATGGATCTAAAAGCTACATTCTTAAAGGTAGTAGTCACCAAATCACACCTTCCAAACAGAGAAGTAAAGAACTGAAGTTCCTCTTTCCATTGAGGCCAGCTCATTTCCAGGCTTCCTTCAGTAAGCAGTGGATTGCCCGGCAGTGGTGGCACACACCTTTAATCCCAGCACTCGGGAGGCAGAGGCAGATGGATCTTTGTGAGGTCGAGGTCAGTGTGGTCTACATAGTGAGTTCCAGGTCAACCAGGACTGTTTTCACAGAAAAACCTTGTCTTGAAAAACAAACAGCAACAACAAAAGCAAAACAGAGGAAAAAATAAAACAAACAGAAAAGAGTGAATTCTGTGAAGCTGAACTGGTTCTGGAGATATGGCTGCCTACTGTTTGATATTACTGAATTACTGAGATGACCAAGTCAGTGTCTTCTGTGACCATAGTCACTTGACGCATCATCTTTCTGAAAGTGATCCTTTTTAGACTTTTTCTCAAATCTTCATCTTTGCATACAGCCCCATAATTGACAACAAGCCATGGTGTCAGACATGACTGGCTTTTCACTAATGTTTTCCACTCATTTCTGGATTCTTCCAAGAAAGAGGATGTAACTGGCTCCTTCAGAAACAAAATAAAGGCCACTGAAATAGCAGCGACTTTCAAGCTGTTTGCTAAATTTAGCTGCCCAATGCTTTCTACTCAAATTTAAGCCATGAACTCTAATTACGGTATGTTAGAACAGGATGGGACCATAAAGGTCATCTAATCTAACTCCCTCCCGCCCATTTTCCCACTGAAAGTGTGGGGGCCCAGACATATGCTGGGATTTCCTCCAGGCCACAGTGCTTATTAACAGTGGAACTTGAACTAAGATCTGCTCAGCCCTGGGGCAGGGCTAGCCTAACCAGATCTTGAAGCACAAATATAGCTAATTTTACTGGCTGTGGTTTACTGTTGATAGCCATTCATCGATGTGGTGGTCGAGTGTGAAGTAGCAAAGGTGTCTGACTCGTAAGTTGCTACAAAGAAATGACATGATTCTAGAGCCAGGCCCTGCCCCCAGCTCGAAAAACTTCCTGCTTTATGTTAATCAATAATGGATGACCCATCCCTGCAATGCTCCAGGGAGCTTAGGCTGCACTTTTGAGCAGCCGGTTAGTAATGTACAGTGGATAGAGCCTCTCTTTTAAATCCCAGGGCAGCGGGGCCTTCAAGGCTAGCACTGCAATTTCAATTAGCCGCTGAGTGAAAGCTTGGCATGTGTATTAGTGAGCAGGGACACAATTAGCTTATTCTTCCTTTCCCAATTGTGTTGAGAGGATTCAGAAGATTGGTGGGGGAATCAGGCAAGGCAGGCATCACTGGATATTGAAGAAGGGAGTTGCTCAAACCTCGACATCTTCACTTGCGCAGGCTGGAATTACAGAGATTTATTACAAAGCACCGTGTGTGGGGCTAGGTGAAGCGTGCCTCAGGAACACTCCGGACACCACTTGGGTTTGTCTTTGTGAGTGCTTCACGGCTCTGTCTTATTCTTATCGCTAACATGGAACCCAACAGCCCCAAAAAGATACAATTTGCTGTGCCTTTATTCCAGAGTCAGATCGCTCCAGAGGCAGCGGAACAGGTAAGGGGGAGTGGACCCAGAGAGGTTCCAGGATGATGGGCAGGAAGGGCATGCGTTCTTACTAGGTGAAAGGGTCTCTGCTTTCTGCATTTGCTGATTTTGTGATTTTCAGAAAGAGGAAGTGGGTCTGCTTTTGTACTTGTGTTTGGGTTGTGCTGGGGAATGACTGGCTAAGATTTTAGCATCACTTCATTCTATATAAAATAAACATCCATGTGTTAGACATTCTGGTCTGAAGCAATGTCCTGGCTTTTCTTCTTACAGTAACAGTTTCAACATTTAGAGAAACTTTGAAAACATTGCCAAAAATTAGCACTCTTTTATTTTGTTACTTAGAAAATAAGAAGTAATGTAGAAATTAAAGTAGTAAATCCTAGACTAATTTAATATTGCAGGCTGCATTTTTATGAGTTTTTATTGTGTATCCCTAGCCATAGTTGTGCGTTATATATGAGCCATGGGTATGAAAAATGCTCTATTACTTTTTCCTAGGTTCTTTTTTTATGTCTGACATTGGTTTCTAACTGCGTCATGTTCATGTTTACTTAGATGCTGGGTGCAATGGACCCACTTAAAAGATATTCAGTGGAGACTGGTGGGGAGAGCAAAGGAAATAACGGGAATGCCGATCTAATTCGTCAGTCACTTAGAACTCAGGGGACCCCTGAATCCTCTCCCAAATAGTTGGTACAAAGTCTTACAATATGTACTGGGAGTCTTACTTTATAAGATGCCTCCACAATAGACCCACCCAGATTCAGACCAGATACACATAACCTGGGCCAGATCTGTGTACTGAACTCAACATGGCTTCCATCTTGAACAACACCATTTGTATCCTTTCTCCTTTATCTTACTGACAAGTATTCTGGGAATTTAGTGATGAGCTCACACAGCATGAATAAAGGCAACCTGAAGCAAGAGAGTCAGACTATGTTCCTGTGATTCCTATAACAAGGTGGTAAATCTGCCCGATCTTAGTTTCAATTGAGTGTATATAGTCCCTTTTCTTCTTCTACACTTTTTTAGTAACTTTTACTTATTTATCTACAATATCACACAATGTATGATATATCTTAGCCATATGTACCTCAGCTCTCCCCTCCCGTTTCTTTAACACCCACTCACACGCCCTCTCGCTTTCGCATTCTCTCCCTTTTATTCTTTCTAACCCACTGATTCCAATTAGCACTACCTAAGGGAATTAAAACACACATTCTTATGAGATTCTTATTTTTGGTTGACCTGCTAATTTGATCTAAATATTAAGTTAGAAAGTAGAAAGTTAATCAGACAAATTGAAATCTAAAACTTACATTGTCAATTTAATTATAGCACGTAAGAGAAATTCGAAGCTTCTGAGTTTCTTTTGCCTCATTTAGATAAGAGCAAGGGATCATGATGTTATTGCCCTTGTCATGGGGCTTTACCAGTCACTTAAATAGTAGGTCACCTCTGTACTTTACAATATATTAACCTCAGTTGCATAGTTTTATGATATACAACTATTATTATTATTTTTTCCTTTGAAAATGTAACTTTTTGCTCAAAAAAGGTGTTAGTAATATCTGGCAGTTCTAGCTTGCTTCCTATGCTCTAAAATATATAGTGAGTGTATGCTATGTTCTTTCTAGAAGTTCCTTCACGTGCACTGGGAAAAGAGGAGGGCAAGTAGGCTTGCATGCTGTAGAATCAATGAAGAGGAGGGTCTGATTCTCACACTGACATCAGCTGTGCCTTTGTTGTTCACAGATCAGGAAAAGAAGACCCACACCAGCGTCCCTTGTGATACTCAATGAACATAATCCCCCAGGTAAAGAGGCGCGATGTCTTTACTATTGATGAGATGGAACAGGACTGTCTAAAGAGGACCAAAGGGCATGGCCCTGGTGATAAGTTCCAGCTTAGGGTTGCAGTTAGATAAAAGGGATCATAAACAAAATCAGAAATAAATATCGAAAGTACTGTCTCAATCATCAGCCTACCTTTCCTCGAGAATGATACACTGGTAACAACATGTTTTATCAGCATTGGCTGCTGCGAGTTTATATGGAACCTGATCCAGGTCTTATCAATAGAGCTGATAAAAAGTTGCTTAATTAGGTTTCAAGGTTCAAGTTGCAGCCTTGGAGGTGATTATATTTTTGCAGAGTGTGATTTTATTTGTGGTACGGGAAGGGTAACATGCCAGCATTGGCTGCAGCCTTGCTCCTGATGTCATCTCTGAATGATGCAATTGACAAGCAGCCGGATCAGTTTTCAGCACTGCCCATTTGAGAACCATTCTGGATGCTTACATCCATTTGTAGAGGTTTTAGTTTCCATTTCCTGTAAAAAGTAAAACTGCATTATTAGTTTTGATAAAGGGCTATGATCTGCGCTACACAAACAGAAAGTTCATGTACCGCACAGAGTGACTTTCCTCTGGAAATATAAGCAGACCGGGAAACGTCGTTAATTTGTAACCCAGCAGATCACATTGGTTTTTGTTGTTGTTGTTGTTGTTGTGGTTGTTCGCTTGTTCATTTGTTTGATTGTTGCTGTAAACAAGGGAGGCCTAAGTGAGTTTGAATACTGGAAAGTATGTCTGTTCATAAGTCCTGAATGATTTGTTCTGGGAATGGCACAATAAAATAGTCCTTGACTTTTCTGGAACCTTCCTAATTAGAGAAACACACAAAAGCAAAGACAAATTCTCCTAGAATATTTATTATTGTGCCTACATCCAGGGAAATTAGCAGCTCAACGGAAACAAGTAAGTTGGTTTCCACTGAGAACAAAGCGTTATTAATTCGGTCCTTAGCCACTGAATGCATGGCATCTTAAAATCATCTTCAGATATATCACCTCAGTTAGTGAGTGATAACTTACATGGAGGTGAATAAGAGGTTCAAATGATGTGTCTGGGCATGTTTATAGCTTACAAATTTACATGTTTTTAAATTCGATGACTAAATCTTTTCAATGTTTAAGTGATATTACAGTAATTTTCAATCCATACCTTACTCATAATAGCGAACATTTTCATAATACCCTGGGATTTGCCTCCTAACAGAATAATGTCCAGCTTGGCTCGTAGGTTAGATTAGCTATCGGAGTTCTTTAGCTGTTCTTACCATCTATACATAGTAAGGTCATGCTACTGACCTTTGTAGCTCTCATTTAAAACCCCGCACAGCAACTGATAAGTCTTGAACGCTAGCTAGGAAGCATTTTACATAATAGGAGATGTGAGAGAGGTGAAATTGCTTTTGTAACATTTTTCCACTAGAAATGGCGAGCCTCAAAGACAAACTCAGGCAGTTCTGACCCCAGAGCTCATGCTTTCCCTATAGTCTGACATTTGCCATCAGCATTGGTTTTCCCTTGCACAGAACAGACTTGTTCAGTTCCTACAAGAGGGCAAGACCAGCATTTATGTGACTTAGTCTGGAGTGCTTACTTCAGCAGATGAAGAACGGTATTTGCTATCTCAGGGGAGGACTTTGTTCTGACCTAGTAAGCTTGCTCTTAGGAGATGTTCCAACCAGCAATTCCCTATCTCCCTTGTTGACCTTGCCCTCTTTGTGGTTGTGAGTGCCAATGGAGAGAAACTAGCTGTGAGCAGATACTAACACGGAGCTGTGTCATCTTGGAGACATTATCTACCTGTATCTTCATCCTTCTTTGTGGAAAGCCTGGCTGTGTATAGTACTGGCATCAGCGTGTATGTGAACCATGTTTGGAGTGGGTGATAGATTCTGCAGCAAAAGCCCTAGATCTAAGACTTTTCCTAGTAGAAATGATATAATCCAATATCTGTATGTGCTGAGGAAAGAACTTGAAGTCAGATTCCCCAGACAGATGATGAAATGCAAGCAAACTTGACTACTGGTCTTTATTAGTTTTATAAAATTGGGTAAGGACATATCCAAGCTTTATTTTATCATGTATCAGACAGATATGATAATGCCCATTTCTTCTACACCACAAGCTTTATTAATGGACAGATGACTTAACATGGATGTACATTAAAAACTGCAAAACAAATATTAAGGATCACTGTTAACTCATCTATTCTAGAACTTATAGTTTGTATGCTTACTTAAGATTCATTACAACAAGCACACAAGTTTAATGCTCACATCTTTCCTGAGAATTTCTGTCTTATGCAACAATTCTTAGTTACACTTATCTGGCTACTTGCAAAGCATTTCCTAAGAGCTTCAACCTTAGCAAAGCAGCAGCTTCTCTGGCCCTCAAGCGCAGTGATCTTTAGCAAACAAGGAATGGTGCAACTTTAAATACTGGCGATCGGGGGAGGGACTTAACCATTCTCAATTTACTGAAGCAGCCCATGAAATCATTGGAGAGTCATAGATCACATACCGTTAGTACTGCTTAAGATTCAAATCTCTTAAAAGGTTTCCTTATGGTAAATAAATAAAGCAAAGAAAGTTAAATTCTTTATCATCTATAGCTATCTTATCTGGGTGTGGAAATCCTAGCACTTAAGTGGCTGAGATAGGATTGCCTCAAGTCCCTGCTGTCTTTAGCTATGCAATGTGTACCTGGCCAACCTGGGTTATAGTAAGAAAAAGTTGCCTTTAAGACCAGTACAAAACTTTTAACAATGTGACGTTATTGACTTGCAACCAAAATTAAATAAAAGGCAAAGTTTTCTCTTGCTATTATTATTTACCATTTTAGGTATTAGCACAATTAGTAACTTATGAAAGAGTATTTAAAAAAATAGCTTAATTTTAGATTTCCGCATACATGTTCGTTCTTCATACCGACCTTCATCAGAACGGAGGAGTAGAGAGTATGATATTTTAACTGGGCATCGGCCCAGTTGTTGCCTTTGCTCCCTGCTTTGCATGTGATGTTCTAACCGCCAGGGCAGCACACTATACCTTCAGTTCTTCCCTAACAAATAAGCTAGACTTGCCCCCAGTAGAAACTCCATGAAATAAGCACACAGCTATTAAGGCTAGACTTGCCCCTAGTAGAAACTCTATGAAATAGGCACACAGCTATTAAGGCTAGACTTGCCCCCAGTAGAAACTCCATGAAATAGGCACATAGCTATTAAAGCTATATTACCCTTTGACATTGATCAGCAAATAACTCAAAATCTCAGGAATAAGACAGGCTCATAGTACATGTGTCTTTATTGTAGAAAAGGAAGAATCCAAAGTGCTTGCCTTCAGAAAGAACTGTGACCAGTCAGGAGGTAGTAAGAAGATACCAGAAGCATAAGATCTGGGCGTAGGGAATCATCAAGGACAAATGTTGCCTTTCCCTGTCGTCTCAGGCCAGAAACTCCATTTGGAAAAAAGTACTTCTCTTTCTGTAGTTTCTGTTCCTCTTCTGTTCAAGATCACCAGTCTCTCTGAAGTTGTATCTTAGGGTCTCACTATCTGTTCTTACAGCAAAAGCAGTTAGTGTTTACTCTTCTGTAATCTGTGGTCAGCTGGTACGGTCCTTACAGCCTTATCTGGATCCACACACAAAGCATCTTAACGTGGCAATGATTGACAGCTGGCTTTTTAAATTTATTCCATCTCATATGTGGATTTTTCTTGAACATTTCTTGCTTTAAACAGACATAAGACTGTTTAAATTTTTGGCTATGGGAATGTTATGATTTGGATGTTAAATGTCCCTAATGGCCTAACATACTCAAATCTTGACCATTAGCCTGTGGCACCACTGAGATACGGTGGAATATTTTGAAAGTGGGGTCTCCTGGAAGGAAGCGGGGTAAGGGACAATGACAAGTCCTTACTATGATGTCTTACTTTAACAGAGGCTCAAAACAAGAAGGCGGGGCAATCATGTTAAAGCTCTGGATGAAAATGAATCTCTCCTCACAGCAACAGAAAACTGATTAATACACAGAAATAGAATTTGAGAGTGAGGAAAAGAGAAACCGAGAAAATGCTTCTAGCTTCACCTCCCATTATAGAAGGACATAAATCATTTCAGCTCCCCAAGACAGGCTCCACTTTATGCACCTCAGAGAAAACTACATAATTATATCTGGATTTCAGATTCAAGTCTAAAAATTTTAGAGGTTAAAAAAATAGTTTCTTATGCCAAAGTTGGATGTAATTTCTCTAACTGACAATAAATCTTCACTTATTCTTTTCAATACAAGTTGCTTTCACCTATTTAAATATATAAAACAATTCCTTATTGTTATTTCTACATCCAAAATCCATTTCCCTCAACCACTAAGGGCTTTAGTGAACTCTTTCCAAATTCTCCTCAATCTCTGCATTTTGAGCCCAGAGCTGGACATGGTCTTCCAGTAAAAAGCCAGTTAGACCAGGCTTCATGAATATTAAGGTCTGTGGCATCCATTCTTTTCCACTTACTGTTAAGCACAGGCTGATGGTTACAATTATATTTAATGGGCCTGGGGCCTATTAAATATGATTGAACTATAAACAGTCTGAAGCTAAGTGCAGGTTTAGGTAAGGACCCAGGACTCCAAAAGCTTATTCTACATCTAAAACCCTGACTGGAAGTACAGCGTAGGATGATTTGGAAGGGTATTTATTGAATTTACTACCAAGTCAAATTTGAGGGAATTTGGATTTCTCTTGACTGTTTTACACCCCACAAGTAATTTTAGAAATAGGAATTAACATGAAAAGATATCATCATCTGCCTTGGGGTCCTAAACATTCGTTAATATGAAACTCTTGAGCTGCCGTATTCACGATCACATCAGCTCCTTTCAATCTTGAGGTTAAGTTGAGAGATCTGCAAGCTGCAAGGAAAGCCAGTGGCACTCTGTATACCATGGAAGGTGGCTTGCAACCA